GATGGGTATGAATCGTTTCATAAGTGGTTAATAACAATTGTTTTTCGATTGGCTTTTATGCATATTTTATTTGGCAACTATAGCGTTTCGTTTTCCGCACGCTTTCCTCTTGAATTTTTAAACATTTTCCATCTGCATTTTCTCTTTTTACCTCCTACTCTCTCCCCTCTCACTTTGTTCTGCTGCATTCGAGCGAGGGAAATCACCTTGATTTCGTGGGTTAGTTCGGTTTGGCTTAGTTGAGATGATATGGGGGTTGAGTTGGGTTTCGGGCTTGGGCTTGGGCTTGGGCTTGGGTTCACTTTCGTTTTAGAGCCACCTAAAACGACCCTTCCCCCCAACCCGTGTTAACCCCGTTTTTTGGCCCTCGGGCCACAAAAGAGATTACGTTTTGGCCCTACGAATTGTGTGTTGTTGCTGTTGCTGCTCTATCTGTCTCGCTTCAGGTGTTTATTTTGCAATGTACCCGACATGTGTACCTATATGTTTGTATATAAACTACAGATATATAACTGTATATATATATATATATGTTGGTAGGTATTGTTGCTGCTCGTTCGTTGCTCGTTACGCTTCAGTTTGGAAAATCACGCTTTATTGCATTTCAAAACCGATTTGCTATGGCCCATGACCAGTTTACGGGGGGCAAATGAAAAATTCCCACACAGAGCAAAAAATAAATACAATACCTGTGAGAGGTTTTTTTGCATATCATCTTTGGTTTATTAATTTGCTGATTTTCAATTAAGGCGGATTAAAAGTCAGACAATTTTAAGGAAATTAGAAGAGTACCCGAATAGGAGTAAGTGATTAACTTCGATAGTTAAAAAGAAGTAAGATATTAAATAGAAATATGGTAAAAATGTACTTAAATGTAAACTTATTAATAGTTAGACAAACGAAAGAGTCAACAACTTTCAATAGGAGAGTCAGTCAGCTTTAATGGTTATAAAATGAAAAATAAAATCCGATCTTAAAACCAATAAAATCCGTTTCTCTTGGTGTAAGTGCAACATCTGCATTGATAACTTTTATGCATCTATAAAAAAAGATCGTATTCCCAGTCGAAAACTTACAAATAACAATAAAAACAACACTAACTTCCATCAGAGACCGCGCAAAACAGGAAAAATAAACTATCAAAATCAATTTGCTCGCCAAATGCGTAAAAATCATCAACTTTCCATAATTACTTTAATAGCCATCGACTCGAAGGAGTTCGCCAGCGCCTTTTTGTTTATGCTCTGCTTTTGGCTTTTTGCGTTAAACAATTAAAAAACCATTTGGCAGGAGGGCAATATGACAGGGTAGAAGGTAAAGAGGGGACAGAGGGGAATCCCCTTGCCACGTGACTCACGAATGGAGGCAGAGAGAGAAAAAAAAAACTGAAGCTAAAAATAATTATAAGAAATTCAGCAAAAATGACTAAACGATGGAGTTTCTGGCTCTATCTATCTCTCTGCTTCTTCTCTACTTCTTCTACTTTTTTTGGTTTTTTTTTATTTACTTAATTTATTTACTTTGTTTTTTATTATTATTATTTTGTGTTGGTTTCTGTTTTCGGTTGTTTTTGTGTGCGTGCGAGGGGTTCATGAACCTGTCGAGTGTTTATCAATTATTATTATGGGAGATTTGTTGGCTTGTTTGTGTCGGCGGGTCGTTGGGATGGCACAGTGGAGTCTGGCTAGAGTGGAATTAGGCTAACACAACTTCTAAAAAGGTGGCAAACAAAATATCTATGCACCTGCTACAGTGAACTTACCTGCTAAAGGCAAGGCTCTTTCAATAGCCTAACTTTACTGTAGCGAAAAGAAATTGCACACAAAGTACGAAGGGGAAACAGAGCAAGAAGAATGGCAATGGAAGAATGGATGAATTAAAGTGCTGGCTGGGGGGGGTGAAGAAGGTAAAGAAGGTGAAAAAGAGGCGAAACCAAAAAAGGGGAGCAAAAAACTAAAAACTCGATTTGCGCACCAAATTGACTGTAAAATGTGCAATCTGCAAGTTAATAATCGCCAGACGAATGTGCCTGCAATTTGAGCAGGACGGCAACTGAAAACTGCAATAAAAGCTGCATAAATAATACGAAAAGCCACACATAAACATAAGCCAATTAAAACAACAATAGTTGTACTAGACGTATACGTAATATTAAACGAAAGCCAAATAAACAGATGAAAAAATGTGGAGAAAACATAGCTAAACAAGCCGAAACATAAACAACAATATCAGCAACATGTAACGACAACAGTCAGGGCAGCAAATAATGCAACAACTATAGCAACAATTTCCACAACAACAACAACAACAATAACAACAACAATTTCCACAACAACAACAACAACAATCGAAACTTGGCATCAGTCAAGCGGCAAATGCGAAAAAAGCACTTGAAAATGCTTTTTTCCAAGCCAAAGACTTTTGCCGACAAGATGACTTTTGGGAGTGTACCTAGTACAGTGCTAGGCATAACCATAATGTGTAGTTAATAATAACTTGACATTGGATTATGGAAGTTTCTTGTAAGTTTTGATTTTCAAATCAATCTTACAAAAAATTTCTTAAAGTTTGAGTTCTCTTTGAGCTTTTAAGAATGTAAATTGGCAATACAGTCATGGGTCAGACCTTCTTATTTGGAGGCCCAGCAAGAAAGCGAATCTGAAGTGGCGGTAGTTGGAAAAGAAGGAGCAATAAAACATCATAAAGTCCCCGAGACAAGAGCGCGAACCCGTTCCCAACATTCATTCCAACAATGCAGAGCTCAATTACAAAATAAAAAAAAAAAAACGAGGAAAATAATATAATTTCTGTTTGTATTGTTGCAAAGGCAAAGCTGAAAAGTGGGGGAAGGAGATGGAGATGGAGGTGGAGTCTCCCAAGTGATTCATAATTTGTAACTGCTGATGAAAGGAGTGGGAAAAAGGTTTTGAAAACAAAAATAAAGAAATACAATAACATTTTTTAAAGGGCCAAATTTAAATAACATTTTCAGATATAAAAGAAATATTAAATATTTAACAATTACTTTTATGAGATTGTAAAATATATTTCCCTTGCCTAACGAAAGTCTAATCAATAATCCATAATCATTCGTTAGCTTTCGTAAATCCCTTTCCAATCTGCTAATTTTTCTTATTTTTGGGCGTATGCAATTACCATTGATTAATGTCCAGAGAAAGAGAAGGGTTCGCTGGAGAAAAGGAGAAAAGAAGGAAAGACACTCCGAAGAAAGTAAGCCTTGTAATTATTTCTCCATTGATTGAGGTCTGGTCTTCCTCTTTTTTTTTGGTAGTTCCCTCTTCTTTCTTTTTTTTATACCCGTTACTCGTTTTTTATTGCCGTTGGCCAATTTATGGTAGTTAAGCTTCTCCTTGGTCCTGTTCCTAGCACTTCCTTCGCCACTTTGTCGGATGTTGGCTGTTGGCTGTTGGCTGCTTCTGCCTGCAAATGATGCTGTAATTTATTTGCCTTTGTCATTGCACTTGGCTCGGGTCTTATAGATAGTTATATACATATATATCTTTATATATAGGTACATATACATATACCCTCCTGCCTGCCTTTTCCCCCTGCTTACTCCCATCTTTTTGGCCACTTGTGGCAGTTTTGTTGGCGGTTCCTCGGCGATGCCTGCGAATGGCTGCTCATAAATTTCTGTTGCCTGCATTTGCGTATGTTGCCCATCGTCGGCGCAGCTGCTGCTTCTTTGACTATCGATACACTGGAGAAATAAATTGAAGGAAATTAGATTATTTTTTATTTTTATTTCACAAAAGAGATGCTTTTTTTATGTTTGTTTTGAGTACCATTTTTGGGTTAGGGTTAAAGCTTATTGGTTAGGTCAAAAAATAAAGAATTTATCGATTATTTTCTAACGAAATTCTATGTTGAATCCTATCCTGTTATTCGTTATCACATTTAAGAAGTTAATTATAGGTTTTAATAGCAAAATTTACTAGAAGGAATACGATTTTAAAATAAATTAAAGTAGCAGTTGTTAAAGTTAATACTGATATAGGGTATTGGTTAGACCCCAGAAAGGTTATCGATTATTTATCTATCCTAGCATTTTCTTCGTTAGCATATTAAAGAACTTTAAGATTGGTTTTTAAGGTAAATTAACTTCAAGCAGGCTAAAATAATACTAACAATTGTTAAAGTTATTACTGATATAGAGATGGGAAGACATAAAGAAAGTTGTCGATTAAGTTCTGGACACATTCTACAAGCTGTTGACCATTTCAGAATATTAAGCTTGTTTTTTCAAAAAGAACAAAATTAAGAAATTGAAAGATATATAATTGTAATACAATTTTGCAGAAGTGTTCTTAAGATATCGTTAAAGCTATCGATAATTTCGATAATTTAATAATTTAATTATTTAATTTATCCAGAAATATATATGTAAGTCCAGAATCCTGCCTGCCTGCAGTATAAAACTCAATAAAAATTCCATAGAATTTTCTCCCCATGTATTCCATAGCAAAACTCCTCATGTCGCCCGCCTCTGTCTTGTAATTTATGTGAGGATTTTTATGGTTTGTTAGTTTTTGCAACCATAATCCAACCTATCCACTCTAGAATCTGCCACTCCCCCATCTCGCCCCACCCCTTCCCCAGTCTGGCCACTACTGCTGTCTTATTGAACACTTGCAACATCATGTTTACCTCACTATGGTTAACCCCCAAACCAACTCCCCGCGTTCCAGGCCCGTGCATTCTTTTAGATTTATTTGTTTGTTGTTTTCCTTCCTCCTCTGGCTGTGTTCCGTTTCGGGTTTGGTTTCTTTCATTATGATTTACTCGCTGCCCTTTGTTGGTTCATTTGTTGCTTAACCTTTTTATATGCAAATTGGTAAGGGCAAGGAACTTGTGGCTAAAATGGGGATGCCTGATGACGGGGCGAGGCAGTGAAAGTTGGTATAAGTCAGCACTATGTTTGTGATTGATTAACTTTATATGCTTTCTATTAACTGATTTTGTAATTCTTTACTTTGCAGTTAATCTACTTGGGAAACGCTTTGTTTTTTAATTTTATTGGGTAAGTGAATATTAAAAATTAATTTTAAATTAGTTAGTTTTCTTTAATAAAAAGTTTCCTCTTTGCCAAGTTTGTTCATCATCAACTTGCTGATGATTTTCGCATTTTCTGGTCCCTTTTTCTTCTGCCAAAATCAATTTTTGGTTCGTTTATGACGAACAAATATTTATTTTTCCCAATGCATTTTCACCGAACTCCCAGTTTTTGCATATTTTTTTCGTCTTCTTGCAATATGCAAATCGAGTTGGAGATATATAGCCGCCATATTCCTTTTAATATGCCATCGCATTTTGTCGCCTTCCGTCGTTTTCTTGAGATATTTTGTGTTAATTTCTGGCTTGCCGCCAAATCATTTCTTCAGTTTGTTTACCTTTCGTTGCAACTTCTTCGCCGGTTTCCTCCCCCCCTTCGTATTTATTTTCTTTCTTTTTTTTCGGTTTCTTTTTTGCATTTAATTGTGTTGATTTTCGCGCTTGCCATAAGGGGAGATTTTTCTTTTCTTCTTTTTCGGTTGCTGAAGAATTCTTTATGTGTTTCTCTTTTCCGCGTGTGTGTGTGTGTGACACACGTGACCAAAATTAGAGTCGATCTTTGGGGCGGGGGTCTCACTGTAATTGCCTTTAATGTCTCGGTGAGAGTGAAGCGAATCGAGAACTTTCATCTTTAAGATGTAGAAAATGTTGCCCTGCAAGTTTAAGTTTTAGTGAGCGTTTTTAAGTAGCTAAACTCTTAAATTATAATTAAAAATTAACCAAAGACATTTGAAGAAAATCGCGTGCCTCACGCGTGAGTATCGAACCGAGTGAGTACCCAACAACTTGGCAACGATTCATTACGAACAGAAACGAAACGGAGAAAAAAGAGCATTCCGTGACTGGCACTTGCTACTCCGACTGCGGTTACTTATTAACTTTTATGGACCATATATAAAGTGCAATTTTCCCCATTTTCAACAAGCCGCCAGCGGCTGCAACTCATCCCTGGCAGAGAGGGGGAAGAAAACCAGTTAAGAATGGATGTTGCTGGGACAGCAAGTGCCCAAAATGTATACCAAAACTAAACCGAGGCACTAACTACAGAGTAGTACCGACTACCGTCTAGCATCCGGAGAGTCGCATTTCTTGGCCATAGCAATTTACCAAATATGTACCTTTCACTTTGAAAATCGTAAAATGTCACAAACTGTTCAATAAAAACACAAATGACAATAAAAAATCCGATAAACAAGCGAAGGAAAATGGCAGCCGAGACTGAGACTGAGACTGAGACTGCTGTGCCTTTTCCAGCTCTCCGGAGTCAAACTCAGACTCAAACTTAAACTCAAACTCAGGCATCGACAACAATGCAAGCCATTGCATAAATTATTGGAAATTTATGCGAAAATTACAGCAACAACTCTGCCAGCAGCGGCACAACGTTGCCTGGCAACGGGAATCGAAGATTTAAAGCCAACAAAATGCTTTAAAAAAGTGTTCAGGAATCAGGAAATATATCAAGTATTTTTTAAAGATTTTTTTAAATGTTTTTAAACTATATTAAAAAATATTTCACTCAAATTTAAACTTCTTTCCTGCTATGAATTTTGGTTGAAAAAGAGTTTCTTTAATTTTAATTTTTAAAAAATGTAATAATTCAAATAATTAGTTAATAAATGTAGAAAATCTTTTGGCAATTTTATAGATTACAAAAAAAAAATAAATTTAGCTTGAAAAATTTATTTATAATTCATTTTTCGAACTAAACTTGTTTTTAAACCAAATAAAACTCTCTTTTTTACTTAAAAACTTCTAAGAGACTTTATTACTGCTTAATTTATAAACTAAATCTCTATTTTTAAGGGTATTTAAGTATCCCTAAAAGTTAACAACAGTTTTAACTGGGAAGATTGAGAATAAAAAATTGATTTCCTTTCGTTAAATATTCAATTTTTGAATTGCCACTTTTGGTTTTATTTTGTATTTTTGATGTTGCAACCAAAATAGAGAGCGTAGAGATAGAAATGGAAAATTTACATTGATAACGAAATGTTGCGTTTTTAAAACTGTGTTTTTTATGATCCAAAACGAACGTGATCCCCAATATGCAACAAACAACAGCAAACACAACAAAAGGGGTCAACAAGTTGTCAACTTTTTATGATTATTTTTTGTGGCTTTTTGTGGCTATTTGCATTTCCAAGACGCTTTTCTTTATTTCTTTCAATTTTATGATCGTTTTTGTTGTTGTTTTGTTTTTGTTTTTTATTTTATAAGCTTGCCACCGAAGCGTGTGAAAAAAGGCAAGCGAAGAAAAGAGTGGAAAAACGACTTGGCCAAGCAGAGGAAACTTTAAGCCAACTAATGAGAAATAAAACGAAGATGAAGAAGAAGTGGCCCTGGTCTTTGTCTTAGTTGAGTTTAAAGAGGAAAGAGGTGGAATAGGAAAGAGGTTTCTTGTATTTGGTTAATGGCTGAGACAAAATGAATTGGTTAAGTTGGCGGCCAACTAGTTGGGGAAACAAAGGTGATATGGGGGAGATGTGATGCAAGGGCGGGCCCTCGAGGAGCTGCGATTAGGCTTAGGCTTTTCTTACTTAATTATTACTTAAGAATGCATTTGTTAATCCCATGATAATCCATAAAATAAATTAAATTTTTAGAGGCAAAAAAAAAGGTTTATTAACCTTCCTTTACCGAAGGATTAACTCTGCCTCTGGCTGGCCGTTAATGAAATTCCAATACACTTTGTTGGTTTCTCTTTTTGCATCTCAGTAATTTTCCTTAATTATTATTTGTTTAATTGCCTTCGTTGTTGTTCGGATTATATATATAATATATAACTGTAAGGCATATCTATATATATATATATATTTCTTTCTACCTCGACTTTGTTTGCATTTTGGCTTAGCTTGGGTTTGCTTTTCTGATTATTTAAATTATCATTTCTGGGCTTCTTTTTTCGTTTTCTTTCTTTCTTCTCGTTGGCTTTGTTTTAATGGCTTTCCCACATTGTTGTAATTAAAATACGTTTAACGGTGTTTTGCATATCGTTCGCTTCAAAGGAAAAGCCTACGAGCTGCCAGCATTTCTTCAAGAGTTTTTCCGCTTTTTCTTTGGCGTTTTGTGTTTTGTGTGCGCCCCGCTAAGAAGGCGAACAACAAAGTTGGCAATTGCCTTGTACAGTGAAAACAATTTATGTGTGTCTCGAGTGTTTTATGGGCAGCGAAACAACTGCTGAACTCCAATGATGTCGGCTGCAATTAAGTGTGCAGCCAGCCCCTATAGTTTTATATGCCATATACTATATATATATATATCTTTATGTATGTGCCTTTTCGTTTGTTTGCCACACAAGAAACGTGCCAAAGTTAAAAAACAACTTTGCAAGTCAGCTGCTGCCGCTTCTCTCAATTAACTTTGCATGCATTTAATTGCTTGGACAACGAGTTTAATTTGATTTAAAGAAACCAACCAGCATTGCATAAGAGTTAGGTTGCATATGTGCAAAGGCTGTACATAAGCCGTGGAGTCTTTGAGAATGGAAAGGTGAAAATGGCCAATTTTCCATTAGAAATTCAAGTGCCATGAACTAAAGTTGATTGCGGTAAAAACATTCTTAGAGGTTTTCATTTGCTTTGAGTATATGCATGGAAAATGCTTTTCTTCTTAAGATATTTGCATATTTTATATCGAATTACTTAATTAAGTTAAATGACTTTGATTATTATAACAGGAATGTGGCTTTGCTAACTTTATTAAAACAGTTTTAAGTGCCGTTTCTATATGTTAAAATAAAGAATAAAAATTAGTATTTCTACCATTAAAAGCAATGTGAAAAGCATCTGAAAACCTTCTTATATAACTTTAAAAACCTACAAAACCTTATTTGATTTTCCATTCCCGCTTTAGTCTTAGTTTGGCAGGACCCGAGATAAGCCTCTTGGCAAACACTTAACTTTAATTTCGTTGCCACTTAATTTTGATTTATTTGCTTCTGTCATTCGATGTCTTTGCCCCGCGCGCGCCCAACCATTTTCCATTTCCCATTTCCCCTCGGTTTAAGCATTCATTGAGCATTTTTTTTTTTGTTTTGGTTCTGTTTTTTGGGCCTGATTTGACATTTAAATGCTACAACGATTCGTCTGCTTTGAGTGTCTGCCAGTTCTCTCTGTTTGTTTGTTTGTTTGTTTGTCTGCCTGCTAACTTGGCTTTCATTTCCGTGTGACCCAAATTCAAGAGACGACAAATTGGCAAGAGAGAGAGAGAGAGAGAGAGAGGCTTCCGTTTGGCGCCTCAATTGCCATTCACCCACGGCAATTAAATGGTCTTCATTTTCATTTTCATTTTCATTTCGCTTTTCAAGTTAACCTCTCGCCGACAGCCCACCATAATATTAATTATAGTTTTTGATGCTCAGCACTGGCTGGCCATTCAATTAAAGAAGCTTGACAATTAATTAATTAATTAATTAAGTGTCGGAAAGTTTTCGTGTGTGTGAATGCGGCTACGCTGCGACTGGCTTTTCGGGGGGAAACGTGTCATGCCGTTTTCTTTGGCTTTCAAAAAAAAGATTATAAAAGGCATAAAGCTTAAGTTTCTTTTGTTAAAAATAATATGGAAATATGATAATCAGTTTAATGAGCAATTTATAGAATAAATTCCCAAATATTTCAAAAAAAAAAAATGTTAAATAAACTTTTCAAGTTTAATAAATAAAAAAATAGAAATGGAAAAGGTTCGAGATTCATTGTTAAAGGTATAGCCTTCATTCGCAAACCGATTCATTATCGGGGTTTACGCCCAATTGACTTTCGATAAAGTTGCGAGGGTGAAGCCAGTAAGCCCCTACCAATCCCCCTTCTTCTTACCTTCTCAGAACTTTGGCCCCCTTTCTTCCCCCTTCTCATGTTTTTAGAGTGCAGCATGAATGTGGCCCCGCCGCCGTCGCTGTTGGCTGTTGTTTGTTAGCCTGTTCTGTTTGTTTTACCTTTTTTTTTTATGGCCTGACGCCAGGAGTCAGCT